GATTCACAGCAGGATACCGTGTTAATAGAAAATACATCGTACTATTTCACAACTTTTGGACTCTTTATCGCACAGATCTGTAGATCGCAGCTTAGAATACCCTGTGTGATTGTCCTTGTAAGGCTTGACAGCTAGTGTACTTGATGATACATGGTAAACAACTTGAAGTCAATAATGTACGAGAATCATGATAGRGCCTTCAAAGACCTATGCATTGTGAGCAAATATAGTAATTACCGTTCATAAAACAACTCAATAAAGCAAACACACTGACTGACGTACAGGTGAGGAAAGCTGTTTCGGTGTTTAACTTTTTAAAATATTTGATTTTTTTCTTTTAGTTTTTGTTTTTTTCTTTTGTTTTTCTGATTTTGTTTTCAAAACATAATTTTTCACTGCATGCTTCGCAAATCCGTACCTACTTTTTATCACTTGTTTTTTTCGTTGGAAAAGGGAGTGACAAGAATTCATGGCCAAAAATCCCTGATTTCAGGGATTGTGCTCACAGGAGCAGACTTTGGAGAATTACGRATTATTAACCATCCCTATTTTCGAGAGCAAAACTGAAATCGTAAACAAAAACCCGACTCAGATTTTAGAAATCAATGGAAAAAAACATTTTCAAGAGGAAGTTGATATCTCCATTTTATGTGTTCTCAGAAAGGTTATTTAACATTTTCTTAGGCCTAGTTAAATCMTCGAATTTCTCATGCAGCGAAGTCAACTGAATTACTCCCTCAYCTGCCTTCAGTTTACATCATTTTATTGACCGCACTACAAGCAAGAATTGACGTTTGAGCCTTTCGAGTTTTACTCAAAAATCATCGATTGTTAAGTGTAAATATATTTAATCTTATTATAGAAGATTGCTTGGACGTGCTAAAAAGGAAAAAAATACAGATATGAGATAACTTCTCTTTGACAAAGAAAAACTTTTTAGAAAACTAGTATTTAGTATTTTGATTTTAGTAAGTAATGATTTTGTAGCAATTTCAGCCTAGTTAAGTGTTTCCTTTCCTAATTACTTGTGCAATGAAAACGGCGAAACCTCAGGCGTACCAACCATGACAACGTACGGTTTTTAAGTCTATAAACCTCAAATGATTGCTCGTACATCAATAATTAAGWACGCAACATAGGGCAATCATAAACAAGAAACTATAGTTCAGAATAATGAGGATCAATTTTTTAATTCTAATTTGTCTTTTTGTGTCCTGATATGCTAATCTCATATTAATAGGAATGTCAAAAATAGTGCTGCGAGCACCACTGGGAAAAAGCTTTTCTGTAAAAATTCGTAAATTATTTAAAATAGATGGCGAAAACTGATCAATTGCCTTGCACACCAGGATTCCATAGTGAGATGAAAAACTCCTGCCAGCATACAATGATTATTAAGTTAGTGTTCCTGAAATACTGCTGATTTTGACTGTAAACATCACCATGATTTGAACCAATGATTGACTTGAAGCTCTTGATGCAAACCAAATGCAAGTAATGTCCGTGAGGTCATCTTGTCGGATTCGATACCACAGGAAAATCATCGTGTTTATTGGGACTAACAGTGGTGGCGATATTATGCTATACATTTGATTCATTTTCATCAAGGAGAAGCCGCAGTAATTGTTGCGCAAAGTGAGTTGTGTTACTAGAAAGYCTTAACTGCTGGTCGTCTGCCGCGAGTTGAAAGTCGAGTTCTTGTTCACAAAAAGGTAACGCTTCGTTTTTGTATCACGTGTAAACGAATCATGAGAAAAAGTCTTCATTTAAACCAAGCAATGTTTTTTTTCAGCAAAGTTGGTTCAAGATATTGTTAGCCCCCAAAAAGAGATGTTTGAAGTTGTACACTTAGTTGAAGGTTTTTGAGATCACTCTTTTGTGTGAGTCAAATGTGACGCAAATAAAAACACAAGTGTTTAAAGCAGAGAAGGAACAAAATGAGAAAAAACTAAAACCGTTTTCTATTTGTGCAGAAGTTTCATCATGATTGTAGTTATTTTCGAAAATGAAGTGTGCATATGCGGCAAGCAGGACTGTATGTGTTAATGAAAACGGATCTGTGTGAAATGTAATGAAAGAAAAGGGAAGGAAGAAAAAAGAAGGAAAAAAGCTCACCAACTTCGCTTGAGATGGCGTTCAAGTCTATGTGTAATGATCGTGCATTTTTAATTAATTATTCGAAAAGGAAAATGTGCATATTTTTTCCAATGCGTTAATGAAAACWCAATTATCTTMATGCGAATATCATGCATCAATGTTAACGATATCATAACTTGTACGCTTCTAATATGATCAGTCCTTCGCCTAGGGTTGCGTTCGAATCGAATGAATGATCGTCATTTCGCAAATTCTAAATTGTCGATAGAATGTTTTTTAATTTCCTCTTTATTTCATTTCACTCCTTTAACCTGCTAATGCATACCCTTTTAACTGCTAGGTTATAAGTACAATATTGAGAATAGCACGATCAGTTGTTCTTACTGCGTACTAGGTTAAGCAACACTTAGAAAACTCAACCTTTGTGCTTATACTGGTTTTGTTTTTTTTCTTTTAGCTTGAAGTACTTGTGAGACAAGGATCAGCCAGCCTAAGATGGTCTACASCAGGATATGGCTATTATTGTCACTTATCATATACGGTGGGAATTGTAGTAATTCGTTGGTTAAGAACCAGTTAATATTTAATGTTCAAAGCAGATAGTTATCAGCATCTATTGTGTATTCACGAAATACCAAACTGTTTAAATGACTAATGATTATTTAATTCTAGGTTTTGAACTATGTTACAATGCTGAGAAAAMCAGCATGAGTCGTTTGAAATAGTTCATAATTTCTTCGACCAACTACACGTTACCGTATCGTGTTCAAACTCGGCCTTCAGTTGGATAAAATGACTACTCGAAAACAAATCAGGTTWTCATGAATAAGTTATCTTTTATCATAAGTCTATCTACACACTCCCATTTTTTAGCTTTGTCTACATATTGATCCATTACAAAATTAGCTTTTTCATTTCAACAACGAATTACTGGATTATAGAATATGTCGCGTTGTTTAAGAAGTCAACAAAACGAGAAATTCCCGCCTCTGTCAAAAGTMGATTCGCAAGTCATGATAAATAATTATCTAATGATGATGCGGATGACAACGATAAGAAAAGCTTTTCAAATGYTTTAGATAGAAGCGCGCTCTGATTGGCTGTTGATACGGTACCCATCGGACAGACGATTACACCTTGGTTCCAGAGGATGATATACATCAGAGTTTAGAGAAAYGACTTAAATTATTCTTTAAAACAAACATGAAATGACCTCTTGTGTCGCTGTCCTRCGATATGAACACAGTTAGAGGTGAAAGGCACTTGGAGCCGAGAGAGGAATTATTGATATGCTTGCGGTTGCTTATCGTTCATAAGAAATAATAATAACATTTGTTTCTAATACTTTATAGTTTATTCATTAATAATGATAAATCAGCTTAACACCACAGTGCACTAAAGCAACTTTAATATAATAGAATTTGAAAGATATCGGATGGCACTGAGAACACATTAGTACGCCYAATACAGCCGTGAGGTGCAATATAAACCAACCCATAGGGTGCAATAAAGCGGTTGATTTTAATTAAAAAAGAACCAGAAGAACTTCATTACTGATCCAATAAATAATTCTATGTTCAATGAATTGAATAGCACTTTTGGGTGATATGCTCTCTGTTGAACAGCATTCATATTATCGATACAAATCTAAGGCTCACTTGTAACTGTTSTAAGGGAGTTTTATTTGTTAATTTGTTACGGATTCCTACTGATCCTTAGTTTAACCTGTCGATGTTTTCTTTCTATTTTTATTTAGATCTCTTACTTCCGACTTCTTTCATTTCTTTTAAAAGTATTTTAAGACGTTCCTTAGGTTTTCTTTTTTATAAAACTCATTCCTTTTTTTTCTTCAACACTCATTTGACCAATGCCTAACAATCTAATTTCAAATTTCGGCTTTTTCCAGTTCCATTTTCTAGTTTTTTCATTTACTTTTCTATCATTCCTTTTTACTTAACAGGCATTATTTATTTTCAAAGATTAAAAACTAAACTATTTATAAGTCAATGTATATTATTCCTTCTCTCTGTTGTTGTAAACTACACATCTAAGTATTACTATAGCCAAACAACTTCTTTTTTCGTTATTGATTCCCACATATCTAGAAGTCTAGCTCAACGCCCAAAGGTCCCCAGCGCACAATTCATAAAAGAATTATATTCAAAGATCAATCTAAAGGATCTCAAAATATTCGCTGATTGCCATCGTGTAAAAGATCGTGGTTTCGATTTCAATTCGCATTTTATTCTCATTGATAATGATATACTTTACGATTTCCCATGCAGTGGACACATTGTCTASGTCGTGTATTATTCTCAGCCAGTTATGAATTAACCAGRCAAACAGACTTTTTTATTCCCATATATTAGATTACCAAGATTTTGCTTACAAAATGAGATAAARACGACATCCAWATTGCAGAATATCCCACACACATGTCGTCTAYAATTCKTAAGTTGCATTTCACGTAAAGAMAGCCGMCATATTGGATGGAAACAATCCTAGATGATTGAACACTTCTGGTTTGCATTGAACAGGGGTTTATGAGTATAACCTCTTTACTTTATAATGGTTATGTCATGTAATTTGGGGCATTACATTGCAAGAATTTCAAAAGTTGCAAAAAATTTCGAGATTTCGTCAAATAAGTCAATATTTTTTAACGTTGTGAATGAAAACATGATGCATACCCTGTGGTTCCTGCTGTGTTTTGATTTAAAACATTTACAAGAACAGCAGATGAAATTGTGAAATGAATAGTAGTTTTGGCATAAGTTTTTAAACATGGAAAATAGCTAAGTCTAGCTTCCCACAATGATGGTCGCTAATTCCATTGTTTTCTTTTGTGTTTATTTGACTATTGTACTTTTGCAATTACATTTTGTTTCAATTTGATYATTTGCGGGTTATTTTTCAATCTATTTTTGGCCTACAACTAGGTGTACTRTCATCGTAGTAGACGATCCATTCCATGAATGAAGCATATCATTCTCTATTACAAAACAAGGCCGAGAAATAACAGGAAAAATAATAAAGAAAGACACAAATGGCCCGGGGTATCTCCGTCAAATTCTAAAGTAATAACGACAAACACGAGACGACAACTCATTAGGATGTAAAAATACAAGTTGGACTCACATTAGAACATCGCTTTAGGCATTGAACCGCTATTCTTTTAGTCCCGAAGGTGGAAGAGTTGCTCTACTGACACACTATCCTAATCTTCTATTTCCATTGTAAACATTGAAGGGCAACAATGAGGATAATTAGAAAGAGAGAGAAAGAGAAAGGGGCCGGAAGGAAAGAGAAAGCTTTTCAACAATTGTACACGAGAAAAATTTTTGAACAACATCAACAAAGAAATTAATGAATGAATGCCATATTAGCCGCACACGTCCTTTGGCCTATGAATGAGTGATTGTGATTGGATGATATTAGACGCATGCTTATTGGCTGATTCATAAGTAATTGTGATTGGATGATGTTAGCCTTGTTTCTATTGGCTTATTTGATATCACAGGCAGTGAAGCCAGCAAAAGTGAGCGTGCATTGATCAAGAAACTATTCGATGATTATGACAAAGAAGTGAGACCAGTTATCAACGACTCAGATGCCGTGACGGTTGTCCTGGGAATGACACTCAACCAGATTATTGACGTGGTAAAAAGAATCAATCATTCTTACATGAAACACTCAACAGACTTTGCCAAATTTTTCGGTTGTATTTTTGTCAGTGCCTTTGACCTTTGTTCAAAGTTACACTTTGGCCATGTTGGTGACGTCACAACGGTCACCGTGTTGGATTTTGAAAACATTAAAAAATACACCTTTATTTCGATTTTATTTTGTAGGACGAAAAGAATCAAATACTTACAACTAGTGCGTGGGTGAGACAGGTAAGAAAAGACAAATTCTCCCTTTTGGTTTTCCTGTGTAAATCAGGAGCAACTAAGAACGGCCTAAATATCACTCCATTCTATTAGCAATGATATTTGTAATGCCTACCAAACAATCTCACCCGGGAATTTAAAACGTAAGCTAATCATTGACGACATAAGATCCATAAAAGCGATTTGATGTTGCATGGGTAAAAGATCTATAGGTTTGACATGAACTCGTATGGCGAAAGGGCCACCTTGAATACCAATATCTCACAGTCAAAAAATTGCTTTAAAAAGTAATCATTCGTTTAGCTGCAATATATAGTAATCTTACCTTAATTGGAGGAATGTGTAGACTCATTTTCGGAGATTTTAACGAAGTTCAAAGCTTTAAATTGCCTGAAACTTGCAGATGTTGTAGCGAATTGTAGCGAAAAGACTTCTGAACAATCGGCCATCTTGATTKCTTCCATATATGGCATAGATTAGATAAAGGAAGCCCAAATTAAAAAACACAGGGATCCCGTACGAATAACAATAATTACCTAATGACCTCAAACAATGACAACAAGAAACATTAAACCGATAGATGTATTAAAAAAAAAAAAAAAGAAAAATATTGTGGTCAAATTCTGTAAGGTTTTACTGTCCAGGCTAATAAAGTATTATTGCCTGGCAGACATGGTTCAACCCTTATCTCGCCTGGAATACGACGCACTTTGGTGGTTTAAAGACCATCAATGTTTCGCCGAAGAAAGTCTGGTTACCTGATATTGTTCTTTATGATAAGTAAGTACATTATTCCTCTAAATTATTGCAAGGGAARCACGATGAAAACTGAAAAATTCTTCTTTTTCTAATTACTTTTAGCGCCGACGACGACCTATCATTCAGCGGTAATCTTGATCGACTCAACACTCGTGTTCAATTGCATTACACCGGCCGTAACCAATGGCTGGCACCCGTSACGTTYAAGAGTAATTGTCCAATCAACGTCAAGGATTTCCCATTCGATACGCAGAAGTGTCAGATGAAGTTCGGTTCCTGGACTTACGATGGTCTTAGAGTCGATCTTGTTAACGAGAGTAGCTTTGGTGGGTATCGGATTTAGTTCTCTGGGGAAGGGAGGGGAAGGGGAGGGAACTCTTGCATCTTAGGCCCTATAATTATCGATCGGACCCAGTACAGATCATCTTTAGGTGCTTTGCTTCCTAAATGAATTAAGAAGCAATTAAGTCGAATAACGCTGAATTTCCTTTTAAATCCTTGTATGTCTTCATAGCTGACCTTGGTAAGTTCCTACCCAGTGCCGAATGGGAACTAGTATCAGTCCCAGCCCAGCGAAATGTGTTAAAATATTTTTGYTGCGAGGAACCTTACCCGGATGTGACGTTTACATTCATCATAAGTCGACGGTCTCTGTTCTATATGATGAACCTTATACTACCGCTGGTCACAATCACCGTGTTGGTAAACGTATCGTTTGTTCTACCGGCTGAATCAGGTAATTGTTCAMTTGRAAAGYGGTTTGAAATAYGCGCGATTTTTACTATTRACTACGTTCTTTTCTTAATGTTTTCTCCCCCAGGTGAACGGATATCTTTATCCATCACAATTCTACTAGCMATGACAGTGTTTATGTTGGTTGTAGCGGAGACRATTCCCCCAACATCAGACGCTATACCCCTCATAGCGAAGTTCTACATGGCTGGTATGATAGAGATGGCTGTTGCCTTAATATGGACGTGTTATATATTAAAATACTATCATTCAGACTGCATGGAAATGCCTAGTTGGGTGCGAAAGTATATTCTCGGTTACCTAGGAAATTTTTTCGGTATTCGCATGGAGAATTTGAAGCGSTTTTCCGAGCATTCGAACATACGGCGTAATAATCCAGGCGGCMCAGGGATACAYGATGACATGGTATTCCACACGGATTCATCGATGAGCAGCAGAAATCCTATGTGCAGAAAAAACAATTACAAGAGTAAATTACTCAAGAAAGAACATGACGATGTGGATGASGTGGATGAYCCTTATGATCGAGCACGAAATGGTTACCTMCCAACACCACTGCAGCCCTTGCATCATTTATCWACGAATAATTTGAACTCATTACCCATTGACTCTTCCAATAGACCAGTTTTTGACTTGGGGGAGAAGATCCTGGAAAAGGTGGAGACACTGGTGGAGAACTCGGTTGTTGATGATAGAGTGAACATTCACAAGGAAGAATGGCGAATCGCTGCRATGGTGATGGATAAGGTGTCTCTCTGGGTGTTCAGTATCACTGTTCTGATTACTATATTAGCGACGTTCTTGCAGGCTCCTGCCTATGTACCGTAAAGAGAAGAATATAGTCGATGTACACTCCACAGCTGACGATGTTGATCAAGATCGAGATTTCCAGAAATGCATGGTTAAACTCAATGAATGGACCTTGAATAAACGAAGGAAACAATTTCGGATTAAGACGACGCCTCCATTATACAACATGTGCTGTCTTTAGCACTAAATCGGAGATAGTGTAGCAATGACTCCAAGGACCTTATATTTGACGACCTTTGCGCAGAGTCTTACGCAGAGKMTACGTAAAKGAAGGCGGGGCTTACGTAAAAACCACCGCATATGAACAAAAGTAACGATAAGCTGAAATTTTTATTAYCAAGACTTAACGTAAAGATAATACGACAACGCAATGATRTCATGMTGTWRCTGAGCATTCCGCATTTTAATTTTACTTATTATTTCAATTTTAAGCCGACTTATTAAACGTGTGTACAAAATAAAAAAATAACCCCAAACGATAAATGTCWGMTGAAGAATGCTTGAAAAAATAATAATTTAYTTGTARTATGTAGCAGGSAAATGACCCGTTATGTGAGACGGTTCCGAATCAATTAAAACCTGCTAGATAACAAAAGATTTCGTGTCAAATGTGTCCTTGAATCGTCTYAKGTGCAGTGCACTTGAAATGAAGATCGTTCTCCATCCAATAATTTTGGCCACGTCCTTGATTTCTGGTGATACGTACTCGTTRAATCTTTGGTGGAGATGAAACCACAAATCATCGCTATAACACATGGATTTCAGTCGTTTGCAAGTCTGAAGAAAACAAAAAATGATRACAARAATATCAATTGTAAAACGYATCAAGTGTGTATGGAACGGCCACAGTGCTCATGTCAAAACAGTAGAATTTCCAGAGAAGTTGTATTTTTCTATCYAAGGYGTTCATAAGAGGGTGTCYCAATTGTTTTGTTTTCGGACCCAAAACAAGGAAGTTAACTGAAATGCACAGGAAAAGCCCTCTTACTCTACTTTCCCTTATATGKATCAATATAACCTGTCATTTAATATTGCTTCCACCAATGACGTCATGATATGCCGTCACTGTGACGTCATATCAATAATTTGTTCTTTTGATTTTTACTGTTATTTTCGGGTTTTTTACGTTGAAGCGTCCTTTGTTGTTGCTGTTTGTCGGTGGTTCTCTGATAGAGTCTGATTTACATTTCATTTTTATTCTTCCGATGTTTGTTTAAAGTTCTTCCTTCCTCAATTTCATATGTTTTTCTCTAAAAAGTACAATTATACGCGACTATCAAAAAAAAGGTGCTTTTTCTGCTAATGAATTGCTATGATACTGATTGTCCGATGTCGTCTATAATTAGAGACAAATACAACTGAAAGTGGTGACTATAATACTAATAGTTCCTGCAATCAAGAATGTTTCTAGCAACTCTCTCGACAAAGGCCTTGAGTTTCCCGTTGCGAAAAACGTTTTGATGATAAAAACACTTTAATGTAAATAGGATGCAAGACTGTCACTTTCATCACTTTATTGACCTAAAACTTAAATTAAACGAAAGCAAAGATCATTTTCTATAGTTTGATGTTTATTATCMGAGTGGAGTTTGTTCATTAGGGCTGCATCTAATAGCATCGTCGACAAAGCCAATGCTTAGTGTCTGTTTATAAAGTTTGACTTTACAAACTGAACTGCAGGGGCTTGAAAAACAAGCTGAAATACTATTGTATTACTTAGAAAAAACATCAGAACATATTCTAATTCATCTTATAGTAGGCATGGTTTTAGATATTTATATGACATTAACTCGCCAAACTTGATACACTGTAATGTAAAATGTTGGTGACCATCATGAGTATATATAGTTTAAATTACATTTCTACTAGAAAAACGGTTTTTTTAATCTAAAAAATGAGTAAACAACACAATGAGCTACAAGAGCAGATTTTCGATTCTCGCGATATATATTTGGAGCAGGAATTATTTCGGATTACAACCACAAAAAGATAATCTCAACTTAATCCGACTCTTTTGATTAATAAAACATACAACTTGGAAGTACACAGATAAACACCCTAAGCCACATTTCAATATTGAATGCGAATTCAATGCTGCAAATATAATTTTTMAATTTTTCAATCAATAGAGTTCAAAGTTAKTGATACTGACCTGACCAAGKCGGCCAATTTCACACAACTCCAGCTTCAGACATATTTTTTTCACAACATTTTCCGGCAAATCTCCAAATGTTGCATGACTCGAACCGGACAATACATCTTTGACATGGTCGAGTGTCTCGCGTCCGAATACTCGTGCTATCTCTGACTGAAGCGTTTTTGCCTCTAAGAATTCTTGGTAAGAGGTTATGGATTGAGAAGGCGAACGRTTTGTGCCAATTCGTAGGTTGATGTTCCATGAACGCAAGGTCAACTCTTTGCTCTTGTTGATGGTAAGATAAAAGTAGTCTTTGCTTGGTGCAGGGGCGATTCCTTCCCGTACAAAGATTACATCCTTTTCACTCATTGTTGATCTTTATCCCCTGAACTGTACAGAGCTTAGATCTTTTTTCTTTCTATGCAAATTATCTTATATCCATGATGTGGGTATTAAATCTAGCCAGAAGCAAGATGAGTGTGCAGAGCGGTCATTTCACTTGATGGAAGCCGGAAATACGTGTACAATTACTCGTCTTTGTATTGGTTTCTGAGTACAATGTACACATCAAAACATCATMCAAGTGTCACAGAAATCTTYGRCATATTAAAAAAGATCTTGAAATCAACAACACAAAAACGAACWGAACAGAAAAATGTTTATAAGTTTACTGAAACTTAATTATCACTAAAACTTGAACATCATTAAATTAAATCTTGAAGTGTTCGGCTAATTTACAGGTATTCATTACTGAACATAGTTAGTCGAGGGGAATGAGATATGGAGGCAATTGAAACGAACGAAAATTATTACACGAATTTTTTTCATTTTTTCCCAACTTGATATTAAAGCATATCATTGTTTAAAGACCGTCCAAGGTTTCTCCTCAAGACAAGCTGATGGACTAGGGGATTTTTTTCCTCATATTTACATTCTGATCGCTTATGTTGTGGACAGCGCAACGACCGAAGTGAATTCTGGTCTTCAAAATGAAGTACAACAAGAAGTCCCTCAGGGATGAGTGCTTGGATAGTTAATTCCATGACCTGCTTCACTTTACTTGATAAAAAATCAGCACAAAGTATAGACTTGAGTTTGTTTTTTCTTAGTAAAGATTATCTAAATAGTCAGATTTGATAAACATACTTCAATTTAGCCTTAAAACTTTCTTTCACTCCAAATCCGGCCATTAAACCAAATGGATTTTTTAATTTTCTCTTTTGTTGCTTTTCATCCCAATATTCTTAACTGACTKGCAATTCCGGTCTAAACCATTTCKTATTAGGTTTTYTCTATTCTTTRAAAACCATCTTTTACTAAAGTAAATTCAAACCTGGTGATATTTATAGAGCTGCACAGATTAATCAACATGAAGCTTTCGGTTGGTCTTTTTTTCCGTCACGTTTATTATAAATAGATGCATGTAAGAAGTATAATATATCAGCACGTTGGTCCTGTTATTACAAATTGTCAGTTTATGATTTATATTCTTCTTGGCAAGATACTTGACACTCAGTGAATACACCGGGCTTCCTGTGTGATAATCATTTCGTTTCACCTCAGTTTTTCTTTACCTCTGCGTAGAGTTTATACGAGTTTCCAACGCTTTTCTYATTGGTTTGATGTAGTTTTGAAGTTACAACTGTGTGAGAGGACATATTAACGAACCAGTAATAATCATGAAAAGACGGTTCATTGTCGGTAGTAACTTTAATATTTGCTATTGAGGATATTCTACATACGTTTGAGTAAAACTATATATGGATGGATAGTGAATTATATCTGATATAATATACCTATATGACCGGCAATATAATAATATACTTTGAAAAAGCACGGGAAAAATATCACACAAATTTATTAAAACCAGAGACTAGTAACCACAGACCACAGAGATAATTTGTTTGAGTAACCATGTAGAAACAAAATTGCACACCAAGCTCTGAAAAAAAATTGGATAACCTTAAGTATTCTTTTAATTCTCCAGAGCCTCGTTTACAATTCTCTTGTGCATGCTTACTGAAACAAAATATTTATAAAGGCGGTTTATTGGAAAGACCGCGAGCGAATTCGAAATGATTTGTATAAATTGTATAAAAGGAGTTCCATGGAACCGCGTTTGTGATTGTTGGTAATTGACTTTTAAAATCAGTCAACAGAACACAAAATGCATCGCGAATGCTTACAACGAGGAAAATTGATTGACAGCTGTCAATTATCGATGAAGAAGCATTGTGAACATMAGACGACYWYGTGTGGCACGGGATAGGTCGTGAGTTAATGATTCCACTGAAAGAAGAAAAAAAAAATTAGTAAATGAACATTTTATCAGTCCCACGTCCAGGGGCCTTTGCGCGATTTCCTCGCATATACGTAAAATCGCCATCTTTAATTTTGAACCAATCGAATAGCACCTTTCAATTAACAAGGGATCATTTGTAAAACAAAAGAAACGATCGCAGARGGTCAGGAATGCACGTGGGACTTTAATCGTATATACTTACGAATGCGTTGTATCGAAGGCGAAAGCCTCGTTTGCCATTGTAATGATCGGAATGGAAGACTATAATCACCACATGACCTTTGATATCAATGACCTTGGGTCGCATTATTGATCCACAAAATCGACAGCCAACTTGATTATACAACTTGTCTAAGAACATTAGATAATCATATCTACAAATAGATATTGTACAATTATTATTGGGATATTATTAATATCATTAGGATAATATTGACGATAATAGAAGTATAGGATAATGATGATTATGATAGTAGTACTAGTGGATCTGGAGGCAGTATTTGTATTTATAATTGTAGTTATAGCAGAGATAGTGATACTGATGAATATAATGCAGCACACTATCACTCAATAACAAAAATGCACAAAACCCAAACTACTTACGCACAATGCTGATCTTGTTCTARAAATAATGTCTCGATATGGATATTAACAACGTGATAAATTTTTGGCAAATGAATAACCCATTTACAGTGTGCATTATTAGGATATCGGCCAGGAAAATTGGGTGACTGAATAATTCCCACATTAGACGTCAATATACCACCACACCTTCCTGGAATCAAATGAAGATTGGTGTTAAACCTGTTTRATGCGATCATRGTCGTTGTGTAGAGGTTTAATTAAATCMTACCTRGTGTTTGCGATGATGATGGAAGTGGAGGTGGAGGAGTTCCTGGTACAATGATTTTATGAGTACCTGGGACAAAAAAGGGAACAAATTTGTAAACAAAAAAGACTGATTTAAGGTATGGACGAGTGAATCAATTGGATTGATGGACGACTTACTTAGATTCAGTGAAGGGTGCCTTGTTATTGCTTCTCGTCTCGTAGCTTGTAATGTAATATGTCGTACCACTATTGGTCGCCCTGTTGTTGATGGAGTTGCTCGTTTGGTTGCCTGTCGTGTTGTCCTACTTGTTCTTCGTACTGTCGTGTGTCGTGATGTTGTCAATCGTGCTGTTGTCGGCTGTGTTGCTGTCGTTGATTCCTCTATTGGTCGACTAGTTGTTGTGCTTTCTGCTGTTGTCTGCGGTTTTGTTGTAGGTTGTGTTGTTGTAGGTTGTATTGTTGTAGGTTGTCTTGTTGTAGGTTGTCTTGTTGTCTGCGGTCTTGTTGTAGGTTGTCTTGTTGT